TTATAGACTGATTTCCTTAATGAACACTGATACTAAATTATATGCAAAAGTTCTGGCAAACAGGTTGAAAGACCTAATGCTGGAATGGATTCATATAGATCACGTAGGATATGTCCCAGGTAGAGAGGGTAGAGACAATGGATTAAAATCTCTGTTTCTCATACAAAAAAGTAGAAAAGAGAAAAGCCCTGCGGTGGTACTCTCGATTGACACTGAAAAGGCATTTGATAGAGTAGATTGGGGATATATGATGGATACATTGGAAGTATTGGGGATAGGAGATAAAATGAGAATGGATAAGGAAATTATATAGTCAACTCTCTGCAGCAATCATGGTTAGCGGGGATTTATCAGAGTATTTCGGGATGCTGAATGGAACAAGACAGGGATGCCCTATGTCCCCACTTCTATATGTTTTGTCATTAGAATCTCTATTGGCTACAATAAGGAATAATATAGATATAAAGGGAATATGGATAGGAGACAGAGCATAAGGTGGCAGTTTATGCAGATATGTTGTTTTATGTGGGAAACCCAAGGATAACACTGCCAAACTTAATGAGATCACTCGAGTATGGGGCGATGTCAAATTTAAAAATTAATCCAACGAAAACAGAGATTTTAAATATAAATCTTGCAAATAGAGAGAAAAAAAGGATACAGGAGGAATTTCCCTTTGTTTGGAGAGAAAAAGAATTAAAATATCTAGGAATAAAATTAACTGTATCTTTCAAGAACTTATACAAATTAAATTATATCTAATTGTTAAATGAGATCAAGGATGAACTAAGGAAATTAGGTGGGGGAATCCCGTCATGGATAGGTCGTATAAATTTGATACAAATGGTGAACGTTCCAAAAATGTTATATAAACTTCAAATGATACTAATCAAACTACCAGAAGTATATTTTAGAACAATTAAAAAAAATGTTAACAAGATATATCTGGAGGAATAAAAAAACAAGAATAAGCAATTAAATTTTATGTAGAAATAAAGAGAAAGGCGGATTGGGAGTACCAGATCTGAAAAGATATTATAACTCGGCAATAATGGCGAGAGTTTTTGACTGGACATATAATGTAAAGAGGAAAAGCTGGATTAAAATAGAAAATATACAAAGTAATACCAACTTAAGTAGAATCGTATGGTTACCTCCACAATATCGAGGATTAGCAGATAGCACAAGTTTGTTCACACTAAATGTTTTAAGAGTTTGGGATGTTTTACACAAACAGATGGGATAGGAATTTAATTCATTGTTAGTGCCCCTTAGGGTCCACAGAGTTTTTTTTTCCTCCGGGTAAAGAAGGTATCACAGGGAAGTGGATTAAGAAGGAAGATGCACAATTAAGGGATATATTGGTGAGGAAGGAAATGGGTTCACTTAAGGAATTGAAAAAGAAGGGAGAAGTTTTCACAAGAATGGATGAGTGGCGTTATTTTCAATTGAAACACTTTATATGGAAGCTCCCAAAGCCTTTAAGAACAAGAGGATTGGAACCCCTTTGAGCATTTATAAGACACGCGGGGAGATGGGAAACACGGAACTTCTAAAATACAGAAGATTCTCACTGAAATAAACACAGATATAAGGCCTCACTATATAGAAAAATGGGCAAGGGATATAGGAGTAATAATAGATGTGGAAAAACAGAGGAAAATGTATAGATTAATGCATTTAAATATAAATGTGCAGGATGTACAAATTAACTATACAGGTGAAACTCGAAAAATTAGAATATCGTGCAAAAGTTCAATTATTTCAGTAATGCAATGCAACTTAAAAGATGAAACTAATATATGAAATAGACACATTACATGCAAAGCAAGATAGTTCGAGCCGTGATTTGGCATAATTGTGATGATTATGGCTTACAGCTCATGAAAACCCCAAATCCACAATCTCAGAAAATTAGAATATTGTGAAAAGGGGCAATATTCTAGGCTCAAAGTGTCCCACTCTAATCAGCTAATTAAGCCATAACACCTGCAAAGGGTTCCTGAGCCTTTAATGGTCTCTCAGTCTGGTTCAGTAGGAATCACAATCATGGGAAAGACTGCTGACCTGACAGTTGTGCAGAAAACCATCATTGACACCCTCCATAAGGAGGGAAAGACTCAAAAGGTAATTGCAAAAGAAGTTGGATGTTCCCAAAGTGCTGTATCAAAGCACATTAATAGAAAGTTATGTGAAAAGGGAAAAGTGTGGAAGAAAAAGGTGCACAAGCAGCAGGGATGACCGCAGCCTGGAGAGGATTGTCAGGAAAAGGCCATTCACAAGTGTTGGGGACTTTCACAAGGAGCGGACTGAGGCTGGAGTCAGTGCATCAAGAGCCACCACACACAGACGGATCCTGGACATGTGCTTCAAATGTCGTATTCCTCTGGTCAAGTCGTTCCTGAACAACAAACAACGTCAGAAGCCTTTACCTGACCTAAAGAAAAACAGACCTGGTCTGTTGCTCAGTGGTCCAAAGTCCTCTTTTCTCATGAGAGCAACTTTTGCATCTCATTGAAAAACCAAGGACCTAGAGTATGGAGGAAAAATGGAGAGATTTTGAAGCACTTCATGCTTCCTTTCGCAGACTAGCTTTATGGGAATGCTGACTTAAATTTCCAGCAGGATTTAGCACCTGCCCACACTGCCAAAAGCACCAAAACCTGGTTCAATGACCATGGGATTACTGTGCTTGATTGGCCTGCAAACTCGCCTGACCTGAACCACTTGGAGAATCTATGGGGCATTGCCAAGACAAAGATGAGAGACATGAGGCCGAACAATGCAGAAGAGCTGAAGGCCGTTATTGAAGCATCCTTGTCTTCCATAACACCTCAGCAGTGCCACAGGCTGATAGCTTCCATGCCACGCCACATTGAGGCAGTAATTGCTGCAAAAGGGGCCCAAACCAAGTACTGAGTACATATGCATGCTTATACTTTTCAGAGGTCCGATATTGTTCTATGTACAATTCTTGTTTTATTGATTGCATGTAATATTCTAATTTTCTGAGATTGTGGATTTGGGGTTTTCATGAGCTGTAAGCCATAATCATCACAATTATGACAAATCACGGCTTGAACTATCTTGCTTTGCATGTAATGAGTCTCATATATTAGTTTAACCTTTTAAGTTGCATTACTGAAATAAATGAACTTTTGCACGATATACTAATTTTTCGAGTTTCACCTGTAAATGTTTGTATATCACACCGAGTGTGGCACAAAGATTGAGCTGAGATAATTCACCATTATGTTGGCGTGGATGTGGAGGTAGATGCACAAAGTATCACATATGGTGGGAGTGTCCTAAAATACAAGAGTATTGGGGGAAAAAAGTAAGCTTGATTCAGAAAATTACAGAGGTTGATATTCTAATAGACCAAGAGACTTGCCTTTTTCATAGTACCAAGCATTCAGTTCAAAAAATATAAAAATTCTGGCTTATTGTATTATCTGAATGCAGCAAAGGGATTGATACCCAAGTTCTGGAGGAGACAGGAGGTGCCGAAAATAAAAGACAGGGTTGACAGGGTGGATCAAATATGTAAATTGGAGGAACTTAACCATATGAATGAAGATAAGATGGAGAGTCACCATACAAGATGAAACAAATGGGAGGAATTTAAAAAGTCAAAGTTAAATATAGAATGAATGGGGGACTAACATATAATAATAGGGTTATCCTTTTTTCTTTTTTTTTTTACTTCTTTAGAAGGGATTAGGATCTACAGAAATGAATAGGAAAATGCAGAGCAGAGGGGTGTGAAGGGTTGGATGGGGGGGGAGACGGGTGGTACATAGGTGGGGGGGGGGGGGGGAGATGAAATGATAAATGTTTTTATAATGTGTTAATGTTTTAAAGAGTATGTTTGTATAACCTGTTTAACGGAAAAATCAATAAATATAAAAAAAAAAATATATATATATATATCTTTGATCAGATTAGTATAGAGTCCTCCAGAAATGCAGCATTAGCGGGATCAGCCCCAGCACCTGCATTTAGCCCATACGCTTTCCACCCCCCCCCCTTCTCCCCCAGCAAGTGCAGTGTCAGTAGGCCACTGTTTCTGATACATTGCACACAAAACAGCAGTGTTCGCAGAATCAGGCCGGATCTCTATTAGCACTTGTCGGTAAATTTTGATGACTCTTATTTTATATTTCAAAACGTTATGAGAAAAAATTAGATCTGCAAAATACTCACCATGCCGCTTTTTAAATTCATTGGGGTGTCTACTTTCAAAAAAGGGGTCATTTGGGGGGGGGGGGGGGGAGGGTGTGGTACTACCCTGGCATTTCAGGGCCTTCAAAACTGATAGGTAGTGAGGAAGTTACGCACCTTCAGGCTTTCAAAGTGGTCATTGGATTTCAGGGGCTCCTGTATGTGGCTAGGTTCCCAAAAAGTTTTACACATGTGGTATCCCCATACTCAGTAGAAGTAGCAGAATGTATTTTGGGGTGTAATTCCACATATACCCATGGCTTGTGCGATAAATAAATCATTTAAATGACAACTGTGTGTGTAAAAAAAAAAAAAAAAAAAAAGTCATTTTCCAGAAACTTGTGGAAAAAAAACTAAATCTTCCATGGACTCAATATGCTTCTCAGCAGATAGCTTAGGGTGTCTAGTTTCTGAAAAGGAGTCATTTGGGGGTGTTTGTACTATCCTGGTATTTTAGCACCTCAAGAAATATGATGGGGAGTCAGAAAGTAAAAGCTGTGTAAATTCCATTATCTATACCAGGGGTCCTCAAACGTTTTAAACAGGGGGCCAGTTCACTGTCCCTCAGACCGTTGGAGGGCCGGACTATAGTTTTAAAAACCCCAAAAAAAAAAAAAACAAATACGGACACAGTACAGGAGATGACCAGAGACTGCAGACATACAACGGCGGGAGGAATACTGGGCCGGCCGCTCCATAAGACGCACAGACATTTCCCAACAAGTGTGTCCATGGGTGGAATAGTGCCCCATCATTGGTGTCAGTGGGTAGAATAGTGCCCCATCATTGGTGTCAGTGGGTAGAATAGTGCCCCATCATTGGTGTCAGTGGGTAGAATAGTGCCCCATCATTGGTGTCAGTGGGTAGAATAGTGCCCCATCATTGGTGTCAGTGGGTAGAATAGTGCCCCATCATTGGTGTCAGTGGGTAGAATCGTGCCCCATCATTGGTGTCAGTGGGTAGAATCGTGCCCCATCATTGGTGTCAGTGGGTAGAATCGTGCCCCATTGGTCATTGGTGTCAGTGGGTAGAATCGTGCCCCATCATTGGTGTCAGTGGGTAGAATCGTGCCCCATCATTGGTGTCAGTGGGTAGAATCGTGCCCCATCATTGGTGTCAGTGGGTAGAATCGTGCCCCATCATTGGTGTCAGTGGGTAGAATCGTGCCCCATCAGTGTCAGTGGGTAGAATCGTGCCCCATCAGTGTCAGTGGGTAGAATCGTGCCCCATCAGTGTCAGTGGGTAGAATCGTGCCCCATCAGTGTCAGTGGGTAGAATCGTGCCCCATCAGTGTCAGTGGGTAGAATCGTGCCCCATCAGTGTCAGTGGGTAGAATCGTGCCCCATCAGTGTCAGTGGGTAGAATCGTGCCCCATCAGTGTCAGTGGGTAGAATCGTGCCCCATCAGTGTCAGTGGGTAGAATCGTGCCCCATCATTGGTGTCAGTGGGAAGAAACGTGCCCCATCATTGGTGTCAGTGGGAAGAAACGTGCCCCATCATTGGTGTCAGTGGGAAGAAACGTGCCCCATCATTGGTGTCAGTGGGAAGAAACGTGCCCCATCATTGGTGTCAGTGGGAAGAAACGTGCCCCATCATTGGTGTCAGTGGGAAGAATCATGTCCCATCATTGGTGTCAGTCGGAGGAATAGTACCCCATCAGTGTCAGTGGGGGGAGGAATAGTGTCCCATTATTGGCGTCAGTGGGGGGAGGAATAGTGCCCCATCGCTGGTGTCAGTGTGGGGGGGGGGGGGGGGAATAGTGCACAGTCATTGGTGTCAGTGGGGGAAGGGGATAGTGTCGCAACATTGGTGTCAGTGGGAGCAATAGTGTCCCATCATTGGTGTCAGTGGGAAGAATAATGCCCCATCTTTGGTGTCAGTGGGAAGAATAATGCCCCATCTTTGGTGTCAGTGGGAGGAATAGTACGTCATTGGTGTCAGTGGGGGGGAATACTGCTCCGTCACTGGTATCAGTGGGAGGAATAGTACGTCATTGGTGTCAGTGGGAGGAATAGTGTCCCATCATTGGTGTCAGTGGGAGGAATAGTACGTCAGTGTCAGTGGAGGGGAATAGTGCCCCGTCATTAGTGTCAGTGGGGGGGGGGGATAGTGTCCCAACGTTGGTGTCAGTGGGAGGAATAGTGTCCCATTATTGGTGTCAGTGGGGGAAGGAATAGTGTTCCATCGTTGGTGCCAGTGGGAGAAGGAATAGTGTTCCATCGTTGGTGTCAGTGGGAGGAATAATGCCCCATCATTAGTATCAGTGACACCAATGATGGGGCACTATTCCTCCCACTGACACCAATGACACGTAACTTGTTGACCCCTGCTCCAGCCTATGAGCTACTGCAGCCAGCATACCTGGTTGCAGCAGCACCATCAGCACGGTACACTTACCTGTCAGCTGTCCTTCACTCCGGCCTCTCTCTCACTCGACTCCGCCTCCTCGCAGGTGATTGGCCGCCTGTGTGCCTTTCCTGAGCTACAGTGCTGGTGCTCAATCACCAGTGAGGAGGCGGAGCCGAGCGGCAGGAGTGAGGGAGTGGCCGGAGTGAATGAAGGAGCAGCACTTCCTGGACAGGATCGTCGTGGGACTGGGACCGGAGCCAGGTAAGGTACAGCAGCCCCCTGCCCACCCCTGTACTTAGTGTCCCTTCCTGTCCCGCCCCTGCCAGTGGGCCGGATAAATGGCCTCGGCGGGCTGGATAAATGGCCTCAGCGGGCCGCATGTGGCCCGCGGGCAGTAGTTTGAGGACCCCTGATCTATACCATAGTTTGTAGACGCTATAACTTTCACACAAAGCAATCAATATACACTTACTAAGATTTTTTTAACCAAAAACATGTAGCAGAATAAATGTTGGCCTACATTTATGACAAAATGTTAGTTTTTTTTAGATATTTATGACAGAATTGAGAAAACAATTTTTTTTCAATAGAAAATTTTATTTCTCAAAAATGTTTTGTTTATAGTGCCAAAAATAAAAAGCACACAGGTGATCAAATACCACCAAAAGAAAGCTCTATTTGTGTGAAAAAAAGGACATAAATTTCATTTATGTACCGTGTTGCATGACCACGCAATTATCAGTTCAATTAGTGCAACGCCGAGTAGCAAAAAGAGGCCTGGTCATTAACCCCTTCCCGCCTGCCCCTCCCGGCCCTTTAAGAGTTTCAGAAACCGGGACGGGAGGGCGGGGTTTAGGGATGTGACCGCCGTGACGTGTCTTCACGGCGGTCACATGATCGGGAAAGTTCCCGATCAAAAGAGCAGACCGGGACCTTTCCATGAGTATCAGACGTGTGCTGGGAGTGCGCTCTCAGCACATATGTTTTTTGTTAATCGCATGCAAATGTGCAGCCGCTCGGCGTCTAGGCACAGATGCGGGAAGGCCGCACATTTGTGTGAATCCGGCGTGAAGAGGTTAAGCGGGGTAAATCCTCTAGAGGGCAAGTGGCTAAACATACGGAGCTATCAAAAAAAAAAAAAAACACTCCCACAACAAATAATAAACATCTGACCATCCAGAATAAGTTTATATATTACTTCACATATTAAATGACTTCTTACATCAAAATATATTTCAAACTTAACAATGAATAAAAAACAACTTGATCTAAAAGAATGCATCATAAAATAAAAACCTCAATTTACCAGTTTCCCTTTTGAGGATTTACCGCCCTACATGACCAGGCCATTTTTTGCTATTCCACCCTGCAGTATTTCAACTGGAAATTGCAAGGTCATGCAATGCTGTATTCAAAAAAAATTTACATCCTTTTTTTCACACAAATAGAGCTTTCTTTTGGTGGTATTTGATCACCTGTGCGCTTTTTATTTTTTGTGCTATAAACAAAAAAGACAGAACATTTTTAGAAAAAAGTATATTTTTTACTTTTGGCTATACAAAATATATCGCAAACTCAAAGTGACTCATAAATTTAGGGCAAAAGGTATTCTGCTACATGTCTTTGGTCAAAAAAAAAAATCCCAATAAGTGTATATTGATTGCTTTGTGGGAAAGTTATAGCATCTACAAAGCTATGGTATGCAATTTATGCCATTTTTTTTGCTATATAGCGCTGCACTATTTTAACTGACAATTGCACGGTCATGCAATACTGTACATAAATTATATTTGTGTCCTTTTTTCCCCACAAATAGAGATTTTTTTCAGTGGTATTTGGTCACCTGTACGCTTTTTTATTTTTTGCGCTATAAACAATAAAAAAAACGAAAGTTTCGAAAAAAAATATTTTCTCATTTGTTAAAAAAAAATTGCAAAAAACTCAAATTTGGTCATAAAGTTTAGACCAAAATGTATTCTACATGTTTATGGTAAAAAAAATATCCCAATAAGTGTATATTGATTGCTTTGTGTGAAAGATACAGCATCTACAAACTATGTTATAGATAATGGAATTTATACAGCTTTTACTTTGACTGCCTATCACATTTCTTGAAGTGCTAAAATACCAGGACAGTACAAACACCCCCAAATGACTCCTTTTCGGAAAGTAGACACCCTAAGCTATCTGCTGAGCAGCATATTAAGCCCATAGAAGATTTATTTTTTTTTCCACAAGTTGTTGGAATTTTTTTTTTTTTTTTTTTACACATAGCTGTCACTTAAATGATATATTGCTCGCATAAGCCATGGGTATAAGTGGAATTACACCTCAAAATACATTCTGCTACTTCTACCGAGTAGCCTAGCCACATACAGGAGCCTAAAATCCAATGACTACATTAAAAGCTTGAAAGTGAATAACTTCATTTCACTTCCTCACTAACTGCAAAATACTCACCATGCTTCTTATCAAATTCCTTGGGGTGTCTACATTCCCAAAAGGGGTCATTTGAGGAGGGTTGGTGCTATCCTGGCATTTCAGGGACTCTGAAATTGTGATAGGTAGTCAGGAAATGTAATGAGGAAATTTAAAAGCCTGAAGTTGCTTATTGGATTATGGGGTCCTGTACATGGCTAGACTGCCAAAAAGTCTCACACATGTGGTACCCCCATACTCGGGAGAAGTAGCAGAATGTATTTTGGGGACTAATTCCACATGTACCCATGGCATGGGTGAGCAATAAATCATTTAAGTGACAATTTTGAGTAAAAAAAAAAATTTTCATTTTGCATGATGTGATTGTAGCCATATTAGTGCACTTGCGACAGAAACAATTCAGTACTGTCCATGATACTTTATTTGCACTAACATACAATTTTGAGGACAAGTTTTCGGGGAGTGTCCCCTTCTTCAAGGTCCAAGCAGTACTGTTACAAAGTTTTAGCAGAATATTAGAAGATATTGGGGATTGAGAAAAAAAAAAAAAAAAAGGCAGAAAGAAACACAAGCCTAACGTTAGCCTAGAGATAACAGCAAAGCTAAAGCAAAGACTGGGGGGGGGGGGGGGGGGGGGGGGGGGGGGGGGGGGGGGGGGAACAGCACTCAAAGAGGGAGTCATAAATATGTTGAATAATGAGGAATCCCATGTCCAAATTCAGGCCGTTATCTCTTGTGTCATATAGAATTATCATTCTTAGTTCAAAAGTTTATCTTTCCTGAATGGATTTGAAATTTCCTTTAACCGTTTCAATACCGTGCAATTTTACACCTTCCTGCCCAGGCCATTTTTCAGGTTTCAGCGCTCTCACACTTTGAATGACAATTGCGCGGTCATACAACATTGTACCCAAACTAAAATTTTATCATTTTCTTCACACAACTAGAGCTTTCTTTTGGTGGCATTTAATCACCGCTGGGGTTTTTATTTTTTGCTAAATTAACAAAAAAAGACCAAAAATTTTGGAAAAAAAAAACACATTTTTCTTTGTTTCTGTTAAAAAAGTTTACAAATAAATAATTGTTCTTCATAAATTTAGGCCAAGAAGTATTCTGCTACATGTCTTTGGTGAAAATAACCCAAATTAGGATGTATTTTTTTTAGTTTGTAGGAAAGTTATAGAGTTTCACAAACTATGGTATAGATCTGAATATTTGATCAATCCTGAAGTACTGACGGCCAATCTAATTTCTTGAGGTCCAAGAATGTCAGAATAGTACAGATATCCCCAAATGACCCCTTTTTGCAGCGTAGACAGTCCGACATACTTTATAAGAGGCATGGCAAGTTTTTTGAAGTTGTATTTTTTTTGTCATAATTTTTCGGAAAATGAGAAAATTAAAAAAATTATTTTCACTTTTTTTTTTTTTTTTTTTACATACTGTCACCAGTGCAGTACAGCGTCATCATATAACTGGCATGGCGGTGAACAGGGACACTGACTGGTGACAGTATGAAAAAAAAATAGATATATATTTTTTTTTATTTTTTTTTATTTTTTTATTATATTTAATTTTTTATTACTTTTTTTTTAAGAATTATTTTTCATATTTTATTATGACCAAAGTAGTACAATGTTACCATAGTAACATTGTACTACTTTGGGGAAGTGATCAGTATTTTTTTTTTACACAATTTGCTTATAGCAAAGAATGACTTTGCTATAAGCAAGCATTTGCCTGAATGAAATCGATTCATTCAGTTTTTTTTTTTTTTTTTTTTGTTTTGTGC